ATATAGATCATATAGTGAAAGTGCATTATTTCTTTGAAAATCTTCTTCTCTACTCCTGGGTATTATTGAAACAAATTGAACACATAGTTATGATAAGCAAGAGTGACTCTACCAAAATTGTGAAATTCATGACCTCAGGGTCAGGGGTTCTGGTGCTAGGGTGGGTCTATATAGATCATATAGTGAAAGTGCATTATTTCTTTGAAAATCTTCTTCTCTACTCCTGTGCAATATTGAAACAAATTAAATACATAGTTATGATGAGCAAGAGTGACTCTACCAAATTTGTGAAATTCATAACCCCAGTGTCAGGGGTTCTGGTGCTTGGGTGGGTCTATATAGATCATATAGTGAAAGTGCATTATTTCTTTGAAAATCTTCTTGTCTACTCCTGGGTATTATTTAAACAAATTAAATACATAGTTATGATAAGCAAGGATGCTTCTTCCAAAATTTTGAATTTCATGGCCCCTGGATCAGGGATTCTGATGTTAGGGCAGGGCTCTATTTATTATATAGTGAAAATGCATTAATGCTTTAAAAATCTTCTTTTCTGCTCCTGGGTATTATTTAAACAAACTAAGTACATTGTTATGATAAGCAAGGATACCTCTTCCAAAATTTTGAAATTCATGGCCCCATAGACAGGGGTTCTGGTGCTAGGGTGGGGCTATATAGATCCTATAGTGAAGGTGAATTATTTCTTCCAAAATCTTCTTCTCTGCCCCTGGGTATTATTTAAACAAACTAAGTACATTGTTATAATATGCAAGGATGCCTCTTCTGAAATTTTGAATTTCATGGCCCCAGGGTCAAGGGTTCTGGTGAAAAGGAAGGGGGGGGGCTTTATTGATTATATAGTGAAAAAGCAAAATTTCTTTGAAAGTATTCTTTTCTGCTTCTGGTTAAAAAGCAAAGAAGCTACATGTAAGTATATAGTTATGATGAGCAAGAGTGCTTCTTCCAGAGTAGTGAATTGCATGACCCCTGGGTCAGATGTGCTGGTGTAAGGGTGGGGCTCTTGATAATATAGTGAAAATGCATTAATTCTATTAAATAATCCTGTTTGCTCTTTAGTGTTAAGCAGATAAACAAAGTGATTACTTATGAGGAGCAAACTTCTGGTCCCAGGGTGAGAGGCTCTGGTGTTTCTCGGGTGGGGGGGTCGGGGGGCTCTATTGATAACATAGTGAATCTATAGTAAAAATGCATTATTTCTTTAAAAATCTTCTTTGCACTTGGGCATTTTAGAGGCAAAAAGTTTCAATAAGGAAGGGTATTTTTAACAGATTTTTGAACATGTGGACCATTCGGTCAAGTGTTCTGGTCCTGGCCAGGGCTATTGATGTGTTCTACTGAGAGGAGTTATTCCCCTTTGCCGTTTATTTTTGATAATTAATCACTGTACATAATGTACTTGAAAGGTTAATAGAATAAGAGAATTATCAGTCAAGGGTGAGACTGAAATCCGTCATTTTTAAAATGACAATTTTAAGCCATAAAATAAAATTTTTATTATGACTTAAACTCGTCATTTTTAAGAAAATGACGAAAAACAGTCATAAAAATTTAGAGTGTTTCTAGAATACCGAGTTACCTCTCTTTGAAAAATGTTAGATCCACCAACCTAAAAAAGGACAAAAAACATCGTAAACGAACTTAATTTCTCTAATACAGTTGACTACAATACTGGTTATGTTGACAGTATAAATTTCCCAAGCAAAAATAAGAGTGGAAGAGTTATTTGTCAATGTATTTGCATTAAATAGGAAAGAAGACGAAAATGACGATATTCCGTCTTTTTCAAAATGGAGGGTCTGGGCGCACTGAAATATCTCGCTTGTTTTACGGGCGCACTACTTTTTTATGGCTTTAACTTTTTGTCGAGACTTTTCTCTACAAGTACGTATTCTTCCAGACGGTGTACTATATGTTTTTATAGGGCTAAAAGCCATGTAAAAATGGCGAATTAGTTCTACCAAAATTCGACATTTTACCGCTAAATAATAACTTTCACCTTCCATGTTGATGTTCTAACGCACGTGGTCGGCAGTAATTAGTGACCCGGATGAAATGAAACTTGCGTAAACACTCTTCTTTCAGCGGTGAATTCAAATTTCGCTTTTATGTAACCAGGATAGACGAATTAAGTTGAAAAAGAAAATATGACGATAGTAAGTCATATTGACAAAAATGACGAAAATACGTAGTTAGTAAATATGACGATTATCCATCATTTTTCAGAAATGACCGATTTCAGTCTCACCCCTGACTGATTATGCAAGAATTTTTTATTGTATAATACAAAAAGTATTTTCTTAGTTTTAATGATCAGGTAGACCTGTAAGTAATAGATAAATAAAAATGAGACAAAAATAACTTGGCTTATTAAATGTTCATCAAAGACCAAGAGAGGCCAATGTAAAAGATTTCAACAAAGAAATGAAATAGTACAGAAGCACAAATAGTTTGTTAATATACTGTATGGTGAAAGTGATAAATGGGGAACAGATTAGAACCTAATTTATGAACTGTTAATGAATACTAGACTGATTATTTTGTTGATCCTGATCACCCTATTTTTCTTGCTTTTGGGCAACAAAGCTTCACCTTTCAGTTCATTTTATACTCTATGGATCCTCTAAATTGTTGCATTATACTCGGGTGACCATTAAGGCCCTTGGGCCTGTTGTTTTACTTTGCAAGACTTTTATTGGTTGATAGTCATTTGTAATTTTTAGCTCACCTTGACAAAGTCGAGATGAGCTTATGCTATACCCCTTGCATTGGAGTTAGCGTTGGCGTCCTGGTTAAAGTTTTTGGAGCAGGTCCATTCCCAAGTAACTATAAGCCCTACCTGGACCAAACTTGCATGGATGATGCATCTAGGGATGGACACTACCACACTTGCTTCAGATGCTGGATCTGACCTACATTTTCCAGTTGAGTGACCAGATTAAAGTTTTTGGAGCAGCTCCATTCCCAAGTAACTATAAGGCCTACCTGGACCAAACTTGCATGGATGATGCATCTAGGGATGGACACTACCACACTTGCTTCAGATCCTTGATCTGACCTACATTTTCCAGTTGAGTGACCAGGTAGTTTTTGGAGCAGGTCCATTCCCAAGTAACTATTAGCCCTACCTGGACCAAACTTGCATGGATGATGCATCTAAGGATTGACACTACCACACTTGCTTCGGATGCTGGATATGACCTAGCTTGTCCAGGTGAGTGACCAGGTTAAAGTTTTTGGAGAAGGTCCATTGCCAAGTAACTATAAGCCCTACCTTGACCAAACTTCCATGGATGATGCATCTTGGGATGTACGCTAACCAACCTGCTTCGGATGCTGGATTCAACCTAGTGAATTTTAGCCATATTTTAACCAAATTAGCATGGATGATGTAGCTAGAGATGGTCACCTTCAGACTTGCATTGGATTCTGAATCTGACCTACATTTTCCAGATGAGTGACCAGGATAGTTTTTTGGAGTAGCTATATAACATGGCCTGTTATGATTAAACTTGCATAGATGGTGCATTTTAGGATGAAAAATTCCAGACTTACTTTGGATGTTGGAACCGATCAAAATTTTCTTGATATATAAGTAAACAGGATAAATGTTTTTTGAACAGGTCTATTTTCAAGTAACTATAAGTCATACTTAAACAAACTTGCATCGATATTGATCATGGGATGTACACTAACTAAAAAAAGAATATGATCTGAAATTTGCCTTACTTAAAGATAACATTTGTCGAGATGAGCTTTGTAATCTTTGATTACCTATGTTTATGAAGGGAAGGAGAAGGTTGTAATGGAAAATAGCTTATCCATGGAGCTAAATCTTTCGCTCTGACTAAAGCATATTGATTATCATCATAAATAATAATTAAATGACATTTTTTACTTATAAATAAGCAAATACCTCCTTTTTGGTAGTATCTAGTTATATGTTTTACCTGATAGCTTTTGTTTTATTTTAAAACCAAATGTTCAACCAACTTGGAACTTTGTTCAGCTGATGTCCAAAAACTATCTTTTTTGGTGTTTTTTTTTTTTAGCTCACCTGAGCCAAAGGCTCAAGTGAGCTTTTCTGATCAAAATTTGTCTGTTGTCTGTCGTCGTTGTTGTCGTTGGTGTTGTGAACAGCAAAGCCATGATTGGTCATATTTATATGGAAGCATCCTCAGGTATTGTAGATTCAAGTTTGTTCAAATCATGACCCGTGGGGGTAGGGTGGGGCCACAATGGGGGATCAAAGTTTTACATAGAAATATATAGGAAAAACTTTTAAAAATCTTCTTAAGAACAGCAAAGCCATGATTGGTCATATTTATATGAAAGCATCCTCAGGTAGTATAGATTCAAGTTTGTTCAAATCATGAGCCCCGGGGGTAGGATGAGGCCACAATGGGGGATCAAAGTTTTACATAGAAATATATAGGATAGGAAAATATCTTTAAAAATCTTCTTCTTAAGAACAGCAAAGCCATGATTGGTCATATTTATATGGAAGCATCCTCAGGTATTGTAGATTCAAGTTTGTTCAAATCATGACCCCTGGGGGTAGGGTGGGGCCACAATGGGTGATCAAAGTTTACAGAGGAATATATAGGAAAAAATCTTCTTCTCAAGAACAGAAAAGCCATGATTAGTCAAATTGATATGGAAGCATCGTTGGGTAGTATAAAATGAAATTTGTTCAAATGAGCACCCCCGGGGGTATGGTGGGGCCACAATGGGGGATCAAATTTTTACAAATGAATATATGGGAAAAAATGTTCTGCTCAAGAACAGCAAAGTTATTTGTTATATTGATATGAAAGCATTGTCAGGTAGTTTAAAATCCCCCATCCCCCCCCCCCTCCCCCGTTAACTTTTCAATACTGAACTGATTTTTGTTTTTTTTCCTAGCCAGTGTGCTCAGGTGAGCGATGTGGCCCATGGGCCTCTTGTTTTTTGATAACTTCCTTTTTTTTTTCAACATACAGGTAAAGCTTATGACCATGGACATTTCTGTCGAGCAGTGTGCTGCCGTGTTTACGATGTCCTGCAGGAATCTCTACCCCCTAAGTACAAAATCACCCACCCTGTTCTCTCTCACCCAAACCTGGCCTGTCCATTCACAGGGACACAACCTACACCTCTAAGTGCCAATTGGTCGGAGGGGGACGAGAAAGTAGAGATAATTAATGCTTACAGTGGAAGGACAGATACTATGTAAGTGTGTTATATAGAATAGAGGTAATTAATGTTTACAGTGTGTTATATAGAATAGAGATTATTAATGCTTACAATGTGTTATATAGAATAAAGATTATTAATGCTTACAGTGTGTTATATAGAATAGAGATAATTCATGTTTACAGTGTGTTATATAGAATAGAGATAATTCATGTTTACAGTGTGTTATATAGAATACAGATTATTCATGTTTACAGTGTGTTATATAGAATACAGATTATTAATGCTTACAGTGTGTTATATAGAATAGAGATAATTCATGTTTACAGTGTGTTATGTAGAACAGAGATTATTCATGTTTACAGTGTGTTATATAGAATAGAGATTATTCATGTTTACAGTGTGTTATATAGAATACAGATTATTCATGTTTACAGTGTGTTATGTACAATAAAGATTATTCATGTTTACAGTGTGTTATGTAGAATAGAGATTATTAATGCTTACAGTGGAGGGACAGATGCTTAATATTTGCATTGACTGAAGAACAGCAATAATTATCTTATTATATGATTCTATTATAAAATGATACAAACTTTGTAAACATGTATCTTTCTAGATTGTTTACATTTGTTGAAGTCCTAGCCAAATGCAGTGAGAGAATCAAGATAAACTAACCTTAACCAGTTGTATCAATTTGAAACTTTATCTATTTTTGGTGTGATGTAGATAAACAAAAGATATTATTCTGTAATAGATATGTATATTTTTTCAGGTCCCCACATCAATCAGGCCCTTTAGGAGCCAGTAGGTTGTGCAAGGCAGGGTTTCTACATAGATTCAAAGAATTATCAAAACTGACAAAACAGCACCAGCTGTTAAACTTTGCTTCATACTCAGCAGCAAAACAATCTAGTCAAGCATATCAGACCGCGAAACACGCCTTCAGACAACACTGTGGTATGATTGGAATAGGAGAATGGGTTAGACTCCCTCCCGAGGTGGATTTATTCCAGAAATAAAATGCAGTAGTGTCATACTTTTCCATTCAGTACAGATCTAGACTGGATTTTCAGTGAAAGACAAATACTTCAGGAGTGAGGGTCTCACAGAAAGGTGCAGAAGAATGGCCGAATTCAAAGCTTGCTTATGTGAAAACAGTATGTGAAAAAATTTCTGTGAACCATTTGTCTTAATATTTGACAAAATCTGTTGGTATTATTTTTTATTTATTTTTGAAAAATGATAGCTCAGGCAGTGAAAGCAACTGTTTTGTGAAGAAAAAATCATCTTTTATTTTTTTTTTGCATACACAATCTGATTAAAATCAGATCCTTCAGTCTGCTCACATAGATCGCTACACAAGGATCTGAAGAAACCCCATTCAGGGTCATCTCCTGGTGACCTTTCAATTATCCAATCAAACGTTTGCTTAAGTTAATTTAGAAGTATCTCAGAATTCAGTTACAGAAGTGAAAGACCTGATGACACACGAACGGAAAATCCGTTCCTTAGCCTGTCAAAAGAATGACCACAGTCTTTTCTGTACAGAAATATATTTAATATTTGCTTTTGCCTTGTTTTTAGCTCTTCTGAGCCGAAGGCTCAAGTGAGCTTTTCTGATCACATTTTGTCCATCGTCCGTCTGTCTGTCCGTCCGTCTGTAAACTTTTCACATTTTTGACTTCTTCTCAAGAACCACTGGGCCAATTTTGACCAAACTTGGTACAAAGCATCCTTGGGTGAAGGGGAATTTAAATTGTTAAAATTAAGGGCCAAGTCCCCTCACAAGGGGAGATAATCAAGAGAAGACAAAAATAGGGTGGGGTCATTAAAAAATCTTCTTCTCAAGAACCACAGGGCCAGTAAAGCTGAAACTTATGTGGAAGCATCCTGGGGTAGTGTAGATTCTAAATTGTTCAAATCATGACCCCCGGGGGTAGGGCGGGGCCACAATAGGGAATCCAAGTTTTACATTGAAATATATAGGAAAAATCTTGAAAAATCTTCTTCTCAGGAACCACTGAGCCAGAAAAGCTGAAACTTATGTGGAAGCATCCTGGGGTAGTGTAGATTCTAAATTGTTCAAATCATGACCCCGGGAGTAGGGCAAGGCCACAATAGGGAATACAAGTTTTACTTTGAAATATATAGGAGAAATCTTTAAAAATCTTCTTCTCAAGAACCACTGAGCCAGAAAAGCTGAAACTTATGTGGAAGCATCCTGGGGTAGTGTAGATTCTAAATTGTTCAAATCATGGCCCCTGGGGTAGGGCGGGGCCACAAGAGGAAATACAAGTTTTACATTGAAATATATAAGAGAAATCTTTAAAAATCTTCTTCTCAAGAACCACTGAGCCAGAAAAGCTGAAACTTATGTGGAAACATCCTGGGGTAATGTAGATTCTAAATTGTTCAAATCATGACCCCCGGGGGTAGGGCGAGGCCACAATAGGGAAGCCAAGTTTTACTTTGAAATATATAGGAGAAATCTTTAAAAATCTTCTTCTCAAGAACCACTGAGCCAGAAAAGCTGAAACTTATGTGGAAGCATCCTGGGGTAGTGTAGATTCTAAATTGTTCAAATCATGACCCCCGGGGGTAGGGCGGGGCCACAATAGGGAAGCCAAGTTTTACATTGAAATATATAGGAAAAATGTTGAAAAATCTTCTTCTCAGGAACCACTGAGCCAGAAAAGCTGAAACTTATGTGGAAGCATCCTGGGGTAGTGTAGATTCTAAATTGTTCAAATCATGACCCCCGGGGTAGGGCGGGGCCACAATAGGGAATCCAAGTTTTACATTGAAATATATAGGAAAAATCTTTAAAAATCTTCTTCTCAAGAACCACTGAGCCAGAAAAGCTGAAACTTATGTGGAAGCATCTTCAAGTAGTGTACACTCTAAATTGTTCAAATCATGACCCCGGGGAGGAAGGGGGGGGGGGCACAATAGGGAATCCAAGTTTTACATTGAAATATATAGGAAAAATCTTTAAAAATCTTCTCAAGAACCACTGGACCAGAAAAACTGAAACTTTTGTGGAAGCATCCTGGGGTAGTGTAGATTCTAAATTGTTCAAATCATGGCCCCTGGGGTAGGGCGGGGCCACAATAGGTATTACAAGGGGGGAAGTCTGGTAATGAACAGCATGGCCAAAGTTACTCAGGTGAGCGATGTGGCCCAAGGGCCTCTTGTTTACCTCTTTGTTTTGTATGAAAAGATAAGATCTTCTCCACAGCTACTTTCACTTCTACATTCATTTTCCCGAATGTTGCTTAAGTACGATCTCTCTGATTGGTCAAAACTTTAATGAATATTTTTATTAGAAAGATCACCAGGAGATGACCCTAAATGGGTTTTTAGCTCACCTGAGCTGAAAGCTCAAGTGAGCTTTTCTGATCACATTTTGTCTGTAGTCCGTCCGTCCGTCCGTCTGTCTGTAAACTTTTCACATTTTCAACTTCTTCTCCAGAACCACTCGGCCAATTTCAACCAAACTTGCCACAAAGCATCCTTGGGAGAAGGGGATTCAAGTTTGTTCAAATGAGGGGCCACGCCCTCTTTCAAGGGGAGATAATAAAGAATTAGTGAAAAATTAATAGCATCTTATAAAAATCTTCTTCTCAAGAACCACGGGGCCAGGAAAGATGAAACTCATGTGGAAGCATCCTCAGGTAGTGTAGATTCAAGTTTGTTCAAATCATGACCCCCGGGGGAAGGGCGGGGCCACAATGGAGGATCAAATTTTTACATAGAAATATATAGGAAAAAACTTTAAAAATCTTCTTCTCAAGAACAGCAAAGCCATGTTGAGTCATATTTACATGGAAGCATCCTCAGGTAGTGTAGATTCAAGTTTGTTCAAATCATGTCCCCTGGGGGTAGGGCGGGGCCACAATGGAGGATCAAAGTTTTACATAGAAATATATAGGAAAAAACTTTAAAAATCTTCTTCTCAAGAACAGCAAAGCTATGATGAGTCATATTTATATGGAAGCATCCTCAGGTAGTGTAGATTCAAGTTTGTTCAAATCATGACCCCTGGGGGTAGGGCGGGGCCACAATGGAGGATCAAAGTTTTACATAGAAATATATAGGAAAAAACTTTAAAAATCTTCTTCTCAAGAACAGCAAAGCCATGATGAGTCATATTTATATGGAAGCATCCTCAGGTAGTGTAGATTCAAATTTGTTCAAATCATGACCCCTGGGGGTAGGGCGGGGCCACAATGGAGGATCAAAGTTTTACATTGAAATATATAGGAAAAATCTTTAAAAATCTTCTTCTCAAGAACAGCAAAGCCATGATGAGTCATATTTATATGGAAGCAACCTCAGGTATTGTAGATTCAAGTTTGATCAAATCATGACCCCTGGGGGGTAGGGTGGGGCCCAGTGGGGGATCAAGTTTTACATAAGAATATATAGAAAAAATATTTCTTCTCAAGAACAGAAAAGCTATGTTTAATCTTATTGATATGGAAGCATCCTCAGGTAGTGTAGATTCAAGTTTGTTCAAATGATGACCTCTTGGATAGCGAGGAGCCACAATTGGGGATCAAATTTTGACAAAGAAATATATGGGAATTTTTTTTAAAAATCTTCTCAAGTACAACAAAGCCATTTGTTATATTGACATGGAAGCATCATCAGGTAGTTTAAAATTCAAGGCCACCCCCCACCCCCCCCCCCCACCCCCCCCACCCCCCCGGTAATCTTTTAAATGCTGAACTGATTTGTGCTTTTGCCTAGCCAATGTGCTCAGGTGAGCGATGTGGCCCATGGGCCTCTTGTTTTTTCTCAGATCCTTGTGTAGCAATCTATGTGAGTGGATCAAAGGATCTGATTTTAATCAGATTGTTGCATACAAAATTGTGAAGAATAGGAGCTACAAAGGTGGCTTGCTGTTTTTCTCATAAAACATTAAATACAAATGCATTCATAGTTCATTGTGATGTAAGAGGTACTGTTTTTTTACTTCTTTTAGTGCTAAGCATATTTTTGTGCCTCAGGCACTGTTTTAATTGCTCTTAATAATAATGATCACCCAAAAATATAAAATATCTTGTATGATGGTAGAGATACACTTATTCTCCATTATTCTACATTATTATTTGGGGTGTGCATTAAGAAGTGGATATCCCTTAGTTCAAGGCTGCCATATCTTAGCAGGTCTGTTTGGTTGTCCATCTGTCCATTAATACTTTTATGTGACACAATAACTGGACTTCCTCTTAACACACAGACTACATACCATATAAGTAGAATATTTAGTCAGACACAAAGTTTAGCAATTTGTCCATTAAAATCAGTATTTAATTTTAGTGAGAAGTAATGTAACTGAATTTAGAAAGATAACTGTAACCTCCAATGCAGGATGAATTGTTAGAGAATTTTAATTGTAGTGATCTCAACACCCCATGATAAAATGCCAGCATTTCATATCAAACCTGGCTTCTTTTCTAGAGTTTATAGGTAAGGATGGTCAGAATTGTAAATTTTGGGATCACTTATTTAAAGATCAACGTCAAAAGCAACAGCTTAAATATCTTGTAACCTAGAGACTTTGTATTTAGTGTATAGTTGGTGAATGGCTAAAGAAAAAGATTTATAGTTTTAAGTCTCTTCATCAAAGATCTAGATAATTGAAGGACCTTTCCTTAAGTTTTGAACTCCCTTAAAAGTACACATTCATTATTTTATAAAGATGTGTTTCTTAGCCATTCGTTGCACTTTTTTTCTGAAGCAACTATGATATTTCACTACCTCAAAGTTTGTAATGCATTCCCTTTTGAGGAGTCTTCTGATTTTTTTTTTCAATTAAACTATAGTTGAACTTCGGTATCTCGAACACTGATATCTCTGTAAACTTTTCACATTTTCAACTTTGGGCCAATTTAAACAAAATTGGAACAAAGCATCCCTGGGTAAAGGGGATTCTGAATTGTAAAAATGAAGGGTCAAGCCCCCTTCCAAGGGGAGATAATCAAGGAAAGGGAAAAATAGGATGGGGTCATTTAAAGTTCTCAAGAACAATTGGGTCAGAAAAGCCGAAACTTATATGGAAGCTTCCTGAGGTAGTTTAGATTGCAAATTGTTCTAATCATGGTCCCTTTGGTAGGGTGGTGCCACAATAAGGGATCAAAATTTTAGATTGAAAAAAATAGGTAAAATCTTTTAAAATCTTAAGAACCATTGAGCCAGAAAGGCTGAAAATTATGTGACAGCTAACTGAGGTAGTTTAGATTGTAAATTGTTCAGATTATAGTCCCCGAAGGTAGGTTGGGGCCACAATAGGGATTATATAGGAAAAATCTTTAAAACTCTTCATCTCAAGAACAGCAAAGCTATGATGAATCATATGAGTGTGGAAGCATCCTCTGGTAGTGTAGATGATTCATATTTTTCAAATTACTGCCTCTCTATAAAGGGTGGGTCACAAAAGGCAATCAAAATTTTACACAGGAGTACATATATATTGGGGAAAACATCTGATGCAGAAAAGCAGGACCATAGTGACTCAGGTGAGCCTTGTGGCCCATGGGCCTCTTGTCAAGATTAGGTTTTGTTTACTGGATTTATGAGATTGGTCATTGTTCATTATCTTCACATTCTACATTTAAAATGTTTTGTTTCAAAGTCGACAAATTTGAAGAATGCATTGAAATATTTATTTTTCTACCATTTTAATTTTGTAAAGTCAAAAGTGCTTTATTTTTTTAATCGAAGAAACAAAGGTTATGTTTCTCTGCACTTGCAGCAGACATGTTTATTGAGATATTAAAAGACAAATAAAACGATCTCTATTTCAGTGATGTGTGTGTGTTTTAATTTTTGAGACTGCATTTTTGTCCTGCATTTGAGGTTATTAATGTGTGCAGTGGTTGAAGACGACTTTCTCTCTCTCTCTCTCTCTCTCTCTCTCTCTCTCTCTCTCTCTCTCTCTCATGATTTGCAATGCCCGACATGAGAGGCAAGCCAATCGATTGATCATCGTCATGAATCCAAAAAATTTGACAGTTATTCCTTATATTTACATGCTCCTGATTCTGCAAATTCCCGTGCTAATAGCCCCGCTTCTGTCTCTATTTGTCCCGCCCCGCACGTGATTTTTTTTAACCGCGCCTATCGATGAACCAGTAGATTTATGTAGAAATAAAGTATTTTTACAATTTGTAATTTTATCTCAGACAAAGACATTGGAAATGTAAATATATATATATATATATATATATATATATATATATATATATATATATATACATATAAAGTGAAGATAGCGAACAGTGATCAATCTCATAAATGCTCATAAATCCAGAGAAGAATACGAGTTGTGAATACGCGAACAACACAGACCTCTGAAAACAGTTGGATCAGGAGCCAAGGAGGATTATGCATCCCCTGTCGACCTGTAACACCCGCCAAGAGCCCTCCGTACTGATGAGTAAAACGGATTAATCCATAGTCAAAATAGTAAAAACATAATGACATTGACCTAACAATTGTTTGGAAACATGTCATTCAAAATACAATCCAACGATACGCTATATTTGCAAACAAGGCCACTATAGCCACCACAGAATTTGAGTCATGCTGACTTTAAACGAGAAAGTTGAAAATCCTGTAACATCAACTTATGTGTCTGTAGCTTGTCCCTGTATAAAAAATTATCGTACTCAGAACATGCTCTTGAATATCCAATAAGTTGGGAGACATAAACACCATATGCAAGTGAGTAAAATATCCAAGTATTTTGCAGACTGTGGTGTCTTTTACATGTATTTCGAGTTCACGTGGATTGATTGATTGTCTATTGTTTTGCGTCCCAGTCGAGAATTTTTCATTCATAGAGAGACGTCAACATATGCCGGTGAAGGGCTTCAATTTCAGACTTATACTCGGCACTCCGGGTCATCGAGCAGTGAGGGTTCTTTATCGTGCCAACGCCTACCGTGACACGCCAGCTCGGTTTTTAAGGTCTCATCCGAAAGACCTGTGACTTTCATTTCTAATGCCGGGCGCTTGGCGAAGGAACTGTCACTACCTATGTTTACGTCTTAGGTCTTGACGCAGCGCGGCGAACGAGAATCGAACTCTAGCCTCCCGATCACGGAGCGAACGCCCTACTACTAGGTTGCCATGATCGATCCGAGTTCACGTGGATATACGTGTATTGAGTTGATATTTGAATGAAAAAATAAACATTGTTAATTGGGAAAATGTCATCAATATATCAAATTGTCATACCTTTAAAAATCGATTCCTGTATAATCTATGCTTTAAAAAACTCTAACATCTCCAATGTTTTAATGAGCAGTCAAAAAAAGCTTATGTTGGATGGCTGTGTGAGATATTGGACCTGTCAATGAGATATCGGACTGCAATGATGCTTTTTACGTCACACTGTAGGCGGGATCAGCTATATCTTGCTTGCATTCGTTGGTTTTGGACAGTTACCTAATAGACCGAATAAAATTAGCAGTGCGGATAAACGAAATTTATCACAAACATGACAAAATAAAAAGTAAAGGTGTAACAAAACATTTATTGACCGTGTTCTCGGGCAAAATGCGTTTTGTCGATCCCTCGAATCAAACTGTTGGCCGAGGCAGACAGCTTGGGTCCGACGAAACGCATGTTGCCCTCGAACCCAGTCGATAAATGTGTAATGTTGAATTGAAGGCCACAGTAAGATACTTCTTATGTAGAAGTTTTATTTCATAAATTCTGGACCGGACACTTTAGCCTAGTGGTAGGGCGCTCGCTTTGTTATCGGGAGGTCAGGGTTCGATTCTCGTTCGCCGCGCTCCGTCAAACCTAAGACGTAAACATAGGTAATGACTTCCCTCGCCAAGCGCCCGGCACTAGAAGTGAAAGTCACAGGTATTTCTGAAGAGACCTTAAAAGCCGAGGGCCCGGTAGGCTTTGGCACGATAAAGAACTCTCACTGCTCAATGGCGTAGGTCTAAATTTGAAGCCCTTAATTCACCGGCATACGGTGACGTCTTTTTATGAGCGAAAAATTCTCGAAAGGGACATTAAACAACATAAAGTCAGTCAATCATAAATTCTACTTCATAAGAATATAAAAATAGGTCGTTATTAATGGGTCAAATCGAAAATATTTTAATTAGATGAGAGTTTTCGTTAATGAATATCGAGGTTTTCGTCTAAGTGAGTAAAAATAAAACATTTTCTGTGTGTATACAAGTAATTTTGTAACCTTTCTGTGTCATTTTTTCCATGAATTTCACCCAAGGTTTTACAAGTTTCACAAGTTTTCACAGATCTTTTTTTTTCGTTTAAATTATGCTTTTTTAGGTAGGGAGGTGGGCAGAGTATCTGTTATACTTAAGCTTTAGATGCAAGGTTTTTAACAAAAGTGATTTTGATTAAGATTATGCAAAGACAATGACAAAAAGGTTTACGATGTATTTTATTTGTAAAAAAAAAAAAAAATACTACAAGGAGATTTGAAATGAAATATGGAGATAACGAACAGTATTCAAGCTCAAAGTCCATTTAAACAATACAAATTGGGAGCAAAGCAAACACGGACCTCCAAAAACATCAGAGGTGGGATCAGGTGCCATGGAGGAGTGTTCATCCCCTACCGACCGATCACACCCGCCGTGTGTTCCTTGTCATGATCGGGAAATAACGGGAAAATCAGTCGACAATTCAGTGTGTAAATAATGGCCTAACAATGAGTATGAAAACGTCAGCATATGGCTTAATGATAGACTGTATTTGCTGACAAGGTCATTTTATTAATAAAAAAAAAAAAAAAAAGAACTGAAGAAAATCTTTGCAGACCTGTTTGTATTAAATTAATGTAGTCAATATGACCAATCATATCCTGTTTTCTGAAAATCATACGCAGATTACAGATAATAAGCACACACTGATTTCAGGTAGAGATCAGATACTGATTACAAGTAATAATCACTGATTTCAGGTAATAATTATTGATAACAAATAACATTTAATGATTACATGTAACAATCACTGCTTTCAGGTATTAATCACTGATTACAAGTAATAATCACTGATTTTAGGTACAGATCACATACTGATTACATGTAATGATCACTGATTTCAGGTAATAATCACTGATAACACGTAATCATGAATGATTTCAGGTACAGATCACATACTGATTGCACGTAATAATCACTGATTTCAGGTAATGATCACTGATTACAAGTAATAATCACTGATTTCAGGTAATAATAACTGATAACAAGTAATAATCACTGATTACATGTAACAACCACTGATAACAAGTAATATTCACTGATTTCAGGTAATAATCACTGATTACAAGTAACAATCACTGATTTCTGGTACAGATCACATACTGATTAATTGTATAATCACTGATTTTAGGTAATTACCAGATTCGGATTACATAAGATATCCAGACACTCCCCACTGCAGAAATATTTTTCGAGTTTGTCCAAACATGTTATACTTTTTTCAACGGAACTACACGTAGTTTCCTGATTTTTTTTTTTTTTCGGAAATTCATTTTAAATCCATAGACATGCGGAGATGTTTCTTCTGTATATTTTGAAAGCCTACAAAAGACAAGCTATTTAAAAGATTTTCAACATAAGACTTCAAATTGACATCATAGCAGATTACTTCATGGTGTGTCTCGAGAAAAACTTTGTGGTTTCTGACCGAAATTCCAAAAATGTAATAGTGGACTTCAATAAAGAAGTAAATGTTATACTGGCAAAAACCTACAAGATACTTATTTATGTGATTAATGACTTACCTGGCATTTTCGGTGGGTACGGTTGTCTTTCAGAGTATGTTTGATGACATTCTGTTTCTAGTTCAGTTAGGTCACTGTATGCAGGTTCATGTTCCAGTGGTTTATCGTACACCTTACTTTCAGTTTTTGAATTAATTCTTTCATGGTCATGCAAAAGTGGTTTTCTGCTGTTCAGTGAATATTGATGTCCAAAAAATGGACCACCGCCATTGTCAGTCTCATCACTGTAGTCCGTCACTTCCGGTATGCACTGATTATAGGGCATATTTCCGTGGAAATACACATGACCCATGCCGCCTTTCCAGGGTGGGCCCCTCATGGACATGCCCGTACCTTGGCTGTACGTTCGGATCCCCACGGGGTGACGCGGCTCCTCAGGTATGTACATTTGATTATTGTACATGGATTGTTGAGCTGGTGATTGTTGTATTGGCATTTGCACCATAGAACTACACGCATGACCAAAGTGGCCCATGGCGCATTGTTGGCACGTGCTATATGGCGGTGGGGCTGGCATAGCCGAAATAGCCTGAAATTTTACAGGCAGTTGTGGACTGTAATACCCCAGTTCACCCATGGGGCTTGAAATATTTTTCAGCCTCAAACTACTGTGTCCGTCGGTATTTTGCAGCTTCGGATGGAGCTTCACCGGGGGTACAGGAAGGGGTTTTCGATCTGGTTTAACGTATTCTTTGGTTGACAAGGCGTCATGGTCATCAGGATGTTTCGGAGTCTCAGAATCTTTATGAGCTTTGGTCAAGCACGACATGTCCATGTACGGCCTGTCAGTAAGGGACGGTGACGGCGAGGGCATGCGTATATTTCGATCTTTCCTGGGAGAATTCTGGGCTATTCTGCTTGTTCCAACAGATTCACCGTCAGCGACTTCTCGATCCATCCAAAGGGCGCTTATACGCCGTGTGATGTTCTGACGTAGTTTTGATAATCTGGTTATTTGGTTTGGCAGCGTGTAATGCCTATCCTCAGAATGAACTCTCTTAAGGTCGCTTCTCCGGATGTCTCTCCTGCATCTTCCTCTGAAATTACAATTCTATAATAAAAATCGTGTGTCGTATTAGAAGAAATGGTTGGGTTCAACACCTTGATACATGCAATGATCTTTTCTTAAGAACCATTTACAAGCACATGTTTTCCTACATATTCATTTGCATTATTAAGTATACATATATTGTGCAAAGATTCAAAAATAATTTTTACGAGTTTTGTAGTTTATTGCAGTATAATTGATATCAATCTATACAGGATTTCTACACTATCCTATTGCTTGGCTGCAATAAATTTCTTCGAATAAATGGAGAACAACCGACGTTGTTTTATTATTTCTCCTTGTTTCATCAACCAGTTTACAAGCTATGGGAATGAAAAAAGAGGAAGGTAACAAAAAGTAATCAATCTCGTAAATTCTATACTCAATATGAATCGGGAACAGGGCAAAAACAACAGAGACCCCTAGAAACACCAGTGGTGAGATCAGGTGTCTAGAAGGAGTAAGCATCCCCTGTCGACCGGTCACACCTGCTGCAAGCTTTTATTTATCAGATAAACGATGAAATCCGTATTCAAAATTAGCCTAACATGTCATTCAAAATGCAACCCAAAATGGGTTTTATTTGCAAACAAGGTCCTTATAATAACAGAATTTGTACTTTAAACAAGATTTTAGAAATCTGTAACATCCTGTGATATCAACTTAATTGCCATTAGCCTGCCCCAGTTTAAAAATGTATAGTACTCAGAACACTCTCCTGAGTACCAAATCGGTTGGGAGATTAAAATACCATATAAACTGTAACAGGTGATATTCAAATTTCACTGTATAAATAAGAGAAGATGACAAAGGGAAAGCTGAAGTCATCCTGTTTGCCATATTGTTTAGTTGTTAATTGGCTATTAACCTCTATAGTCAGTAAAACATCGAAATATAAAACATATGTGGGATATATCGAGTCGACATATAAACAAAAATAGATATTGTTAATCAGTTGATAATTTAAATGTTGAAATTGAAGACCAGAACAAGATTTTCCATCTAATGTGTCTTTTTTTCATGGAAATGAAATTAAAATTATCTCTTTTTTAATATTTTACTAAAACCACTGCAATAACAGTTGATTAGACTTGGTTTTAAAATTCCACAGACATCTGAGATGTGTGTGTGTGTGTGTGTGTGTATGTGTGTGTGAGGGTGTGTGTCAGAAAGGAGTTTTATTCATGTGCTTGAGAAACTTTTAACATAAAACTTGTTAAACAGTACTCGTACTTATAAAAACAGGAAATCGCATCAGGGCAAATTGTTTTAATGAAATGTTCTTGGTGTAAAACACCTACAAAGACACTCAAAATGTGAGAGAGATGTTTGATTTTAGATTGAAAATTGTTCGGTACTTTAATTACGATTGCAAAACATGAATAAATAACATATACTTTGAAACATTCTAATTTTGTACAAATATTTGATGCCACATGATGGCAACAGCTGATGGATCTTTCAGAGTCTAATGAGGCATACTTTCCGTCCATATACAGATACAAGTAGAAACCAATTTCCTGCTTTGGCCTAGAAAGCGAACTAAAGCACAACACATTCCATGTAAATAGTTCAATTTGGTTTAGATATTTTAGAATCAAGAAGTTCCTGGACTTTTAGTACCGGTTGCATAATTTCTGGAAACGAAAAAAAAAATTCAGACATATACCAAAGCTACATATCCACGTGCACCCTTTGAGAAAACATCGATTTAAAGCGACGCTTTTTGTCGCGAGCTGCAGCTAGCCTTTAAGAGAATATTGATAACTAAGTTCTGATTTACCCGCCGAAGCACAACTTAACTTGGAAGATTTTGAAGAAAAATACATCGACAAAAGCATCCATAGATGCTCTGTTTATCATTCATGTTCAGCCGGTAAGGAGGAGCTTATTCCCTTCCCCGGTGTCATTGAAGTAAAGTCAAGATCAATGGCCGCTTTCAAATTGTTCATGTCAGAGCAATAAAGAACTCAATGTGAAGTTTAGGTTTGCATATTGTGATAAAGTAGAATTAAACTGCCTTAATACTGTCCTTAACCATGTACAACGTGTATTCATGTATAATAAGTTAAAACAGACCTAAGTGGTGTTCACAGCTAGAATTACTCAAGCATTAAAGTAGATGAAAGGTAACATTGAATCCATGCTTCTGATAAAACACCTGTAGAATGCATCATATATCTCATCACAATGCAAGTCCTAGAAGTAATAGTGAGAATCTTAAGTACTGTTTCTAAGAAAAATCAATAAGTATTGAATGTAGGTCAGTCAATATTAAATGTAGGTCAGTCAATATTAAATGCAGGTCAGTGCTGCAACTGGAGAATGCTCAGAACTATGTATTCAAGATCATGTACATGTAATGGTTATGATATAAATATATCTGTGAAATGCAGTGATGGATATTTTGAGCTTGGCTTAAAGCTATATATGGCGTACATGTATCTGAGCTTTAAAAAAATGAAAGAAAGAAAAATACGAGATTGAGTGTAGATAAACATGATATATGTTATTTACGTTCAAAATAAAATTGTCACAGATTTTGAACTTGAATAACCTCATGTTTCCACAGTTAAATTGACTCTAAACTGTGTCTGTGAATTAAATACGGAGTCGGTAAATAAACCGGTTATTGTTTTAAATTTCTAATATCTGTGAATATCTTTTGATTGATTTAAATTGTGTAATTTACAGGAAAGTCCTATCTTTATATAAAGTAATGAACCAAATAGAAAGATCTTTTTAATTTTAGTTAGTCTGAACTTATAAAAAAAATACGCCATATATGGCTTTAATTTTATTGAAATATAATAAAAGTATTTTTTAGGTAAGTCGGAATATCTGATTTACATGTATTTTGTGATTGAATTTGTAAAAATACATGTATCAGTATTACTGAATTCAATTAGATACGTATACTCAAGCATATACTGTAACAATCTCTCTTACCAAATTTTGAAGGATCAAGATTTATAGACTGGGATTTATCTAGAGCTTCCTACAGTGTTTCATATTTTTTTTTCCTTTAAAGCAGATATGGCAACAATTACTAGTAATTACATACAAATATCAGTAACAAGACATGTGAGTTGACAACAATAAAAATATATTCAATTTTGTTTTTAAAAACAAATATATCTCTTAAAACTTTTCTCACCATCATTTAAATTGCAAAAGTGAAATATTGATAGAAGGCATGTAATTCTGAAGTGCTGAGTAAAGTGCATGCACTTAAACTTATTAATTCTAAAATACTGATTCTTTTCCCTATTTATAGAGAATTTTAAATAAACATATTTTGGACTTTGTAAAGAAGGGAGACATTGTTGCCATCGTTAAAGTAGTTCTTTGCATTGACATTATTTCAAAATTCCTGTTGCTGTTTAAATTCAACATGAATAAACTAAGAATACTAAACCTCACGTTTACTTTCTTTTAATTTTGATAATTTATCATAATGAATGAGCTATCTACAGAAATCAGGTCAATTGTCTATAAGAATATACATGCAATTTTAAACCGAAATAAACAATTCCATCTGACAGCCAAACTTCCCTATTCATACGAATTCAAATATATCTACTGTTATTACGGACCTTTTAATTATGCAAGTTAAAAGGGAAAAGATTAACAATTGTGAAAATGACTATCTGCCTTTGATCATTGATATCAAGCATTAAAGATATTTGGGTGTGACCGGTCGGCAGGGGATGCTCACTCCTCCATGGCACTTGATCCCACCTCTGATGTTTTTGGAGTTCCGTGTTTGCTCTTCTCCAGATTTGTATTGTTTAAATGAACTTTGAGCTTTAATACTGTTCGTTATCTCTATATTTGATTTTAAAATTTATAAATTATCTTAAACTTCTTCGGCGAACAAGCAACAAGAAGTGGAGTTTAATAAACTGAGCAAAATATCCACGGTCACTTCAGAATGAAAACACTCGTTTCAGTTCCTACATTGCACGTATGAAGAATTGTTTTAGATCTAGGAAAGTCAAATCTCTAACGTAGATATAAACTAATTGAAGAGCTATTAGATTAAAATGTTTGATTTAAGTGCTAAACCTTTTGAAGTAAAATTGGCATACTTTTGAGACAAAGCATGATTTAAATGGCATACCTATCTAGAGAAGTAAGGTTGATTCAAATGGCATACCTATTTAGATGAGTGTGACATACCTTTGCAGTAAGATAATAACTTTTTGCATTAAGGTAAGTTTGATTCCAGTGAAATACCTTTTGCAATAAGGTAAGTTTGATTCTAGTGACACACCTTTTGCAGTGAGATAAGTTTGATTCCAGTGACATTCCTTTTGGCAAAAAGATAAGTTTGATTCAAGTTACACACCTTTGCAGAAAGGTAAGTTTGATTCCAGTGAAATACCTTTTGCAATAAGATAAGTTTGATTTCAGTGGCATACCTTTTGCAATAATATAAGTTTGATTTCAGTGGCATACCTTTTGCAACAGCAGCAGCATATTAGACCAATCAGGAGGACCAAAACAAGACACAGTAGGGTGCCCACTACTATCTTCGTGGCTGTAGTAAGGTTTACAAACCATTCTGAAAGGATTGTAATCATCTTTCAACCTCCCTCTAGAATTCGTCCCTAAGTTAAACAATTTTTTTTCCTATGATATTCCTATGATACTCATTCCATACAATATAGAAATCTTTCTTTCTCTTGCTGAACTCCATTTTTTCATGCTAGCACAGATAAAAAAAATAGCCTTAGAAACTATTAAAAAATCTTTGATTCAATTAACATCATTCGGATTGCATACATGGATGATGTGACACGGCCATCGAACACATTAAAATCAAGTATTGATATTTATTTATTGCTCAGAACATACATCTTAATTATAGCATAAACCATTTATCTTCTATAGAAATAGGTACATTATGTTGTGTTGCATGGTGATACATTGGTTATGTATTGTGATATTTTAACAAATTCAAATATAAGCACATGGACCTAATACATTTAGAGAACGACTTTGTGACATTTTCTCGCACTTCAGGTGAGGGTTATTTCACACAGTTCCTTGAAATTCTTTACACTCAACAGCTGAATAAACTTGAAAAATTGAAGATTTTTAAAAACGTTTCTTATTGATATCCAAAATACAGTTATTGATATCCAAAATACAGTCAAACATCATTATCTCGAACTCACTGGGACCTCGAAAAACTTTCGAGATATCCGAGGATGCGATATATCCAGGGTAAATTACTTTAAGAGGAAGCAGTTGGGACTTCCAAACCACATCGACATATCAATGGTATTGGAGATATCAATGTTTGAAATACCGAAGTTCAACTTGAATGAACATTTTAATAAATTGAGGGCCATTTTTTTCACAGTATCGATTATTTATTGGTATTATTGTGATGACCATATTCAATAGCCAAATTATGTGATGATATGCGTATTCTATATTGCTGCTTCTCATATTTGATTACAATAGCCTTAAGTAATATTGAAGAGAGAAAACATTAATGATATGCATTAAAAAAAATAGCATCTTGATGAACATTTTTTTTCTAAGCTGCTTTCAATAAAAAAAAAATATACATATTTTTTCTGTTTTATAACTTGAAAATGTATTTCAAATTGATTTATTTGCTGTTTTACAATAAATAGCCTAGACCAACTTTTTTTTTAATTTGTTGTTATTGTGTTTTTCACATTCCTCAAGCAACGATAAAACAAGATTGTAAAATACAATTTTCACTTTTTAACTGCTTCAGCCAGGATTTAAAAAATTTAAGTAATCTTAGAATTGGAAATCCTCCAGTTTCAGATTTAATCATTCAAAAAGTAATAATATCGTCTGGGAAACATTTGAATAATTTGAGTTTCAGATTTTTCGTGCACAACATTTAAGTAAACTTTTAAATCGAAGTATTAGATTTTTTTAAAATTATCATTATAAATGCATTGCTGTGTAATATAAATACAAGTACTGAAAATGTCACCCAGATAAGGTTTTGTTATTATAAGGAACTATAATTTTTGTACATTTTCTGAAACTCGAGATCGTATTTTTTGCGTTAAAAATTGCTTGTACTAGAAATCATCTTTACTTACCCAAAATTCTTTCTACCTTAAATTCGTCACCTAAAACTAAATAAAATCATTTTTATGAACATGAGATGTCTAATATAATATAATATAATGCTTTTACGTGCTTTGCATAATTAGCTATGCTTTTCTTTAATTTTACCAATTTACACCGTATTACATAAAAAAAATACCTGTGGTTGTTTGTATGAGTGTTATGTTATACACATCCGTCGTGGAATTTCCCTCTGTCATATCCATCCAATGCTCCGAAGACGAAGCCGATTTATTCAGGAAATCAAATGAACTTGAATTATCAGTAAATTGTAGAGCAGACGTTGATGACCAATAGAGCGATACTTCAACCGTTTCATTCGGATGTGACATTTTTATTTCGTCGATTTAATCCATAAATATCTAAGTGTAGAGAAATAGGAAGTGCTATTGCTGTACCATTGTTTTCCTCAAAATGCTGAAATTTATTTCAAATGCGGAAGAATCACCTTAATTTTTTTTTAACATCAACACACACACACACACACATACACACACCCTCACACACACACACACACACACAATAGTTAAAACGCTGACAAGACTCAATCTTGAACAAATGCAGAAAAGAAATTTAGATACCCGATATGTTTGCTCTTACGCCAAGAAATTGATGTGCCCTCCTCCCTTCCTCTTTGTTTGATCCTCCGAAATCTTGGGCATCATGTGCAAAAGATGTAAATATTATGGTTATTTTGGGTCCTTGTGACCTGTAAGATTCGTATTAACTTTGAACGACCAGAATAATTCATATTACTTTGATTTAAATTTAATATAAAACGAGTGACAATTGTTTTACAAATACATCTAATTGCGACCTAATGCTTTAATGTTTTAGGGATAACCTGCCTCCAGGGCCATTAAATTTATACGAGCTCACTTTTCGATATATGTCTGTTTTTATCAAAAGAGATTTGTTGTGAAAAAGTAAAACTGTGATCAAAATTGAGCTCATCTAAGTTTTAAAGACCCAGAGTTGATGTTCAATAACACAAAATGTTGCAAATGAAGTAACAGTGACACTATTTAAAGAATTACATTAGTCTCTTTCGTCAATTTTAGTTAAATTTTACCAAATACTCAAATCTAAGAACAGATTAATGTTCACATACTTGAGTTAAGTCTAAAACTGGTTTGAAATGATATTCATTCCTATGTTTGATGCTAATGCCACAATCATTATTCATGAAACCACTGATTTCTGTCATTATAGATTATTTTTTACTGTTTATACTAATAGCCTATAACATAATAAAAAATTGCTCTTTTTTATTTTTAGATTTCAACACTGAATTAAAGCGGAGGGCATTGGCGTAGCTACCATGTGTGCTCTAGCATGCATATCATTTTGCAAAAAAGTAAATTTTTTTTTAAAAAAATATATATTGAAAATGATGAAGGTAATAAACGTATAAGTACTGTATAAAGTTGAATATATATATATATATATATATATATATATATATATATATATATATATATATATATATATATATATATATAGTTACCTTTAATCACGAACAGTTTATGCCCATACCTGAATAACAACTGAGTTTCTTATGCTATATATTTAGAAACTGAATTAAAATTGGGAGTACACAGTGTTATTTCCTTCCTGCCATATCAATTTTTATCATATGTAGTTTATATGCAATATATATACAAATGATATCCGATATTTTTCTGATTAGCGCCTTTATTTAATAACATCTATTCTCAAATTATTCCGCAAATGTACAACTCTGTGATAAGCAATTTTATTATTTCCTGAATAATGTACGAGTGCGAAAATTGGTAAGGCAGCTATCCCCAGAAAGTTAACTGATTAAATTTCTTTTTCAAAGATTGAATGAATCAAGAAATTAAAAAAAAAAATAATACCCCTTCCGTCCGCCCCCCCCCCCCCCCACTAAAAATACCATGAATCTTTAATTAGAACAGGCGATTTTTATAATTTAATTTTTAATGACCCATGACCAAAGAATTTTTAATAAAATTTAATACGCTCTCTACTATAAATATTACAAGTATGTCTTATTCCAAAAACAATATATACTAGTATATATATATATATACTTAAAACCATATATTTAAAACCAAATACCAGTATGAATTGTAAATCTTCAAATTTGATTTACTGTGCAATATGCCCTACCTGTGGAGAACATTATATAGGGCAGACAAATCAACTCAACGCACGAGTTAGGGTTCACAAACAACATATAAGGGACGAAACTGTCAGATGCACCCCATGTTCAGAACATTTTGCTGAGTGTGGTAAAGGAAAATTTAAGATTTTCCCGTTCTATAAAATGTGGACATCGGATGAAAGCGCCCGTGTAACCAAAGAGGACTATTTTATAAGACTGTTTAATCCAAAACTAAATCGCAAATGATAGATTATGTGTTCACAGATTTTATATTATTTCTATGCTTTAATTATACATTGTATTTTAACTGCGTTGAAAAAGTTCATGTAGCCGCTACCACAAACTTCATTGTGACGTCATAATACCTAAGATTTCTACGACGTCATTAGCAACGTTATTGGCAACGTTTTGAACTTTTCATAACTGTCTGAAGAGCCAACATGGCTGAAAGCGCTAACAGTAAAGATTTTATTTAATTTGAACTGTAGCATTCTGTTTTCATTTATTTAAGTATTTTTTACTGTACCAAGAATTTAACTTATCAACGTATATATATATATATATATATATATATATATATATATATATATATATATATATATATATATATATATATATATATATATATATATATGAAAATTAAAAATAACAAGGCAACAATGTTAGTAAAACGTAAGCGCTTTCATTATACTTCTTCAGACGTTTTACAATTCAAAACAATTCAAACATGTGACGTTATAACGCTACCTGATGATAACGTCAACAACAATGCAATGACGTCACAATGCTTATAGAGGAAACAATTATAGAGTCTAAGTAAAATTACTTTGTTCATTAATAGCGTAATAAATAATAAAGTCATGAAACAGTCTATATTAAACTATTTAAGGACGGTTTAAAAATCTTGATGAAATGTTTTTCTTTTTCCCGTCTTTCTAAAAGATTTTCTGTTTTGAGTTTATAAAAGGGATAAACTGAGAATTGTCCCTGTCCACAAACAGCAAGATGTTCACTGAGTTTTATTTTTCTGTACTCGGGTTGGTTGATATGTTGTATATGTATGCGTATACGAGTGCGTAGTGTGGTCCCCGTTTCTCCTATGTATAATTGTCCGCATCCAGCGCATGTTATACAATAAATAACGTTTTTAGATGCACAGGTCATATCTGCATTGATAGTAAATTCTTTATTTCCGAGTGTAAAAGTGCTTCCCTCTTTAATATACTGGCAGGTTCCACAACGTGAATCAGAGCATTTATTGACCACATACAAATTCCGTTGGTGAAATGTAGATTTACACAATATTCTTCG